CTCAGGATTCTCACGCACAACCCTCCACCCACGAGGCCTGGCGTGGGAGAAGGCAGCCTCCTGGGCGATGTCGGGGGCACGAGGTGTTTCGCTCCCAAGAGATCCGCACCTGGCAAATGCGCAGCCCGCTGGGCGTGGGGTGGACCTGGAAGGGGGTGCACGTCTCACCAGGCTTGGCCCAGAGAAGGCCAAAAAGGAGGGGGCCGTTTTCTGGAGAGAGAGTAAACAGTCATACGAGAAACATGGTGGGAAGAGCCAAAAATCTGCCTCCTAGAATGTTGGATAGATCCTGAGGGAGGGGGCTGGTGTGCCCAGCAGGGTCACCCCTAAGGAAAGGCTTGGTGATGGGAAGGAGAATGGGGGGTGGCACAAGACAGCCAAACTTCTTCACAATTGGTCCTTCTGCCACCTTGCCAGACACACTTTGTACCTTCCAGCAATACTAGACTCCTTGGTGCCATCCAGACCCAGGAGGCCAACTGAGTACTCTTGAAGCCTTGGCCTGTGTTGTTTCAGGCCTACATGGCCCCTCCTCCTGCTGGAAAATTCCTCCTGACTTTAAAGCCCGGCTTGGGTGTCCCATCCTCCTTGAAGTCATCCCTGACCTTCTTCCTCGCCCCACCAGCTCACACTCCCTTCAACTGGTCACTGCCCCATCTTACAGCACCTAGACTATTGCATTATCATTACTGATGGAAAATGGCCTTCCCCTTCCCCAGGCACACACAGGGGAGTTTCTGTTTTTTGCTACTGTGTAATGACTAACAGAGTAGGCTCACTACATGACTGGAAAATGGGTAGAGCAGATAGATAGTTGGGAGTCAGTGGGAGGGGAGGATGAGGCAAACTCAAAGTTGGGGAGGAGGACCTGAAAGCCCAAGAGAATAGCTGGAATTATATACAAGAAAATAGGGAGCCATTGAAGGCTCCTGAGCCACACACAAGCTGGATGGAAGCTGTGTTTTCAGAGCCTTGAGAGGGAAGGCCAAGAGAAGGATAGCCTGATTTTTCTCCAAATGGAGGCCTTCACCTCACTCCTACTTCTTTCTACAGTCGTGTCAACTACCTGACCCCCTGGCATTAATCTGTGGAAAGGCGGATGACCCCCCAGGCTGCTGGACCATGCCACCTCAGGACCCTCAACTGGACAGAGGGCACAGGGTGGCACCACCTGTCTCCCCAGGAATTCAACCTGATTGCAAATAAACCTGATGCTTCCTCAGGGAGGCACGAGACATGTGTGTGGGTGGGGGAGGTGAGTGTGTGTGCGTGTGTGTGGGGGGGGGGGTGGGGAGGGCAGGGCAAAGCCTGGGAGAGTGTCAGGACCACAGGATGACCATGTCTTGCCCTTGCCTGCTCCCTGCTCTCTCCTTGAGGACTGGTGGAAACTAGAGAAAGATGTTTGGAGAACCCAGGTAGAGTCAGGGTCTTAGACCCAAGGCCCAGCCATGGTGGAGGTGCAGGGGCAAGCCTTGGAGCTGGGTTTTCCTTATGCCCCTGACCCAAACTTGCAGCCCCACACCCATGCCCCTCCAACTCAGATCCTGGATTTGAGTCCTAGGGAGAAAGGGAGGGGACTAGGAAGGGATTTCTAGGTGCCTCTTTCTGAAGCCTTTGCTGTACTGGTGTGTTCCGGGGTGGGGTGGGGGGGGTGGCTTCCCTGCCCAGTTGTCCCTGAAAGCATGGAGGCAGGCTCTGGGGGCTGGCCAGGCCTGTGGCCTCTATTCCTGCTATGCAGCAGCAGAAGGTAGACTCTAAACCTGGATGAGATGCCTATGGCCACTCAGAGAAGAAACTTCCCTACTCTCCGAAGCACCACCAAAAAACATAGTATCTAAACATAGTATTATCTCTATCCACGTGGCTTCAGGTCTAGTCCTCATCTGCCTGCCAACCTACTAGTCCTAAACCACTCCTGTGAAAGGAAGGCATGATGACCTGGAGACAGCCGTGGGGAACCCTGGCTCGGGTCTAGAATAACCCCGTTGCGAGGGGCTAAGAAAGAGTGTCCCCAGAATGGGTGGGGGTTGGGGCCATTGGCATCTGGGCTTTAACTCCTGGACCTTCCAGATACCCCACCCCCACCCCACCTGTGGGCAGCCTGCAGGGACAGGCTCCGATCAGGATAAATAGCCACCAAGCAAAAACAAAAACAAAACAAAAAAAAACCACCCATGTAAGACTTCTGGTCTTGGGGGTCTAGGACTTGAGGGACCCGTCGATGTGAAATCATTTACAAAACCCTGCATGTATGTTTTCCATGCTAAGGCTCCTTGTTTTCAATGCATTCGCAGGAAAGTCAGTGCCCCCAAAGGCTAGGAGATCCTAGTTTGTGCCCTTACCATCTTCAGCCACTAACATTTACTGAGCACCTATCACATGCAGGGCCAGGGTCTGAGGTGGAAGGATTTTAAAGAATAATACCAGCCCTTCCCCTTTGGAACATATCTGACCTATTGTTTCCTCTAGGCCTCCATCACCAGCACACTGGAAAATCAGCAGGGCCAGTGCCAACTATTTCCTAGATGAGAAAACTGAGGTCCAGACCAGGGAAGTAGTTAGACTTAGGTCAGACCCAGAATTCATGACTCAAAGTAAGCCCCAGCACTTGGCACAGGGTTCACATATAGTTTGTGCTCAATTTTTGTAGAATTGGGAAGCTGGGGAAGCAAGATTGCTTGAGCCCAGGAGTTTGAGCCTTCAGTGAGCTGTGATCATGCCACCATACTCATGCCTGGGCAACGGAGTCAAACCTTGTATTTAAATTAAAAAAAAAAATTATTTCCCAGAATGATGGTCTTTTTGCTCAGCCTTGGATGATAAACAAGAAGATGGGTTACCCTGTTGTTTGATGTGTAGATAGAACCTGCTTTATGGACTCAAGACTGATTTTAATTTCTTTTAGGTGCAGAGATGATAATCATTGCCCTTATACCATGATGAGGAACCATAGTCATAATGTCTGTGTCTCTGGTCTCAAGCATGGGACTCTGCTGACAACAGGACAGGAGACAGGAGCCTGGAGGAGCAGACAGGAAGCAATAAGCAGACAAAGTCCCTTCTTCCTCAGGGGTTGGGTGAGGAGTTACCTAGCCTCTCACCATTTCATGCAGGAAGAAGCCCTCTCCTCCCAGGCCAATGGGTGGTCCATGCTGGCTTGAACCCTGGGGTGTTAGAGTCACATTCTGTAGCCCTGTGTCCCCCTCAAATGAAAGGTCAGAGAAAGAGATGGATCTGTTCAAGGCTCACAGCAGGGCTGCTAGAGTCCTGGCCTCGATGAGATGGGACAGAGCTCTAGCGAACATGTTGAAGCCTGCCAGAGGGAATCGAGGGACTGAGGTGTTTCTTCTGGCCTTGCTTCCTTGATACCATATGACTGCACCAGTCCCTTATGGAATGTGACCCAGCAAACATTTGAGGTTTTGGCCTTGGCCAGGCTCTGTGCTAGGCGCTGGGAACACAGACAAGATGCCATCCTGCCTTTGAGGTGCTTCCAGTCCTGGGAGAGACAGGCAGGCACAGCTAATTCCAGCCTGCAACAGAGGTGGTGGTGATGGCATGACCATATTCCTCCAGGCCCAAAGGCCGCAAATGGTAACCCACACCAGCTATTGGATTAAAGGGTTCTTTCCCACTGATGGCACAGTTAATCCTGATTTCACAAATAGAAAAATATGTACCTAAGAATAAGGAAAATACAGAGTAGATCATCATAAACAAGGCTGGCTGCATTTGCAATTTCTACTTTTAAGTGGAAAGCAATGCATTAAGCACTTTGCAGGCCCCACGAGATGGGTAATTTTAGGCCCATTTTACAGATGATGAAATGAAATTGGAAGGTTCTGTGGCTGGCCCAAGATCACCCAGCTGGTGACTGGCAGAGCTGAGAATTGAAGCCAGCATACCTGACTCCCTGGCCCCCTAAGTTTCCCACCTTGGCCTGTGGCCACAGTACTTGACTGCCTTCCTGCTATGGGAGAGATGCAAGTCAAAGGTGGGGAAGAATCCAGAAGCAGCTTCCTGGGGGTGTGGGCATCTGGCCAGGGGTTAGAGGGACTCTGGGGTGGCAGAATTTGCAAGTTGAGAATCCCACCCAGAGGCCAGAGGTCAAGAAATAGAAAGAAGCCCCACCCCTATCCAGCCTGGGCCTCGGGGACAGCCCAGCCTCCACGGTCTTGCCTCTAGGCCTCCTGGGCCTGACTCCAATCCACTACACAAACCCAACACAAACCCCACTACAGCCTCCTTGTTGTTTCAAAGGCTCTGGGTTCCTGCCTGGCTCTGAACCTTCATTGGAAGCCTTCCTTTCCCCACCTACCTCTTCTTGCCCAAATCCCATTTTTCCTTCCAGGCAGGCCTCTCTCAAGTCCTCCCTTCTCTAGTCTTCCCCAAAACCACAAGGACCGGGACCATAGCTGTCTCCAAGAGCTAACTCATGCCCTCTGACCTACAGTGGGCTCGCTTGCAGCTCCTCTTAGCTCTCTATCTGGGCCTGGGGCGCAGAAACCAGTGGTCTCCTAGGACCAACACATCAATCAGGACTAAATAAATAACTGGTATTTGTTACAAAGTAAGAAAATACACATCCTAGCCCAGTGGGTTAAGGGTCCAAGCTGCCAGTAGGTGGGGCGAGGGTCAGGAAGGGCTCTTGTACACATTTTGTACTGGACTGCAGCAGTTTTGACATTTTGGGGTCCTACTTTTTGATATGTGTAAACCTCAAAACCGTCTCATCCAGAGATCTTGCTTTGAGCCCTGAGGCACCATCAACTCAGGGGCAAACAGCAAGTGCTCAGTAATGCTGGTGGGTGAACAAGGGAAGGAAGGCAGAGCCGGGGTGGGAATGGAGACTTGAACCGTGAGGAGGGAGGCCCCTCCCACATCCCCCCATCTTGGTTGCCTTGACCTCCATCTCCAGGTTCCAAGGAGGACTGAGCAGTCTGTAAAATCAATAGCAATCAAGGTTTTTCAAGGAGGCCTGACCTTCGAGGAACAAAGAAGCCACCTGCTCGAGGATGGGATGTGGAGCTCATCGCAGGAGAGCCTGGCCAAGGTTGGGAAGCCTGGACCTCTTGTGCACTGCCTCGGCGCCTCTGGGAAGATGGAGCATGGTGGCTTCTCTCCCTCAAGGAGTTGAGAAGAGGCTGCAGGGTCTGGCCACCCCCAATCCTGCTGGAGAAGAGCTCTTCTGCTCCCTTGGCTAGACTGGAACTGGCCCTGGCCATTGTTCCCAGCTTCCTGGGCAGCAAAGTGTAGGTTAGAGCCAGAGCCCCAGGCTTCAGTGACTGGAGCAGGAGGCCTATGTGGTTATGAGCCTAGGACTGTCCTGGTCTCACTGCCTTTCCTTCACCTGTGTGCAGGTACCAGGCTCACCCGGCCAGCCTCCACATTTCCAGGCCACTTTCATTATTAACTGTGTGACTTTGGACAACCTCTAGACCTCTTAAGGGCCTGCCCTGTCCATCTCATAGGGATAGTGTGAGGCTCAGACCAGCTTGGCCAGGAAAGGTCTTGTGAACAGTGTGCGTCATGGCACTGGAAGCCCTGATGGTCCAGAGGGGAGGTTGGGCTTGCCCCTGTTGCCTCTGACCTCCCAGTGCTCTGCTTTCCTGGGTGGCCACTACATGCCATCCACAGCACACAGCATTTCACAGTGCCCTCACCCTAACTCTAAGAAGAGAGCATTACTACTGGCTTTTACAGATAAGGAAATTGAGACGCAGAGAGGTTCCACAACCTGTCCAAAGCCTCAGAGCCAATGAATGGCAGAAGCAGGAGTCCAGCCAGGTTCGCCTGTGGTGCTCTGAACCAGGACACTACATCCCTGCCACCATGATCCATGAGCAAAGACTTCTTCCCCAGAGAGAAGCATCCTCCCCTCTGTGCCCCTGCAGGGCAGAGCACAGAGCCAGCCACATGGTGGGAGTTCTAAAGGCTGTCGGGATGATGGGCTTCCTAGGAATGTGTGCCTTCGTGGTCCAGCCTGCCCACATGGACTTCTAGGATCCAGGAGAAGACTCTCCTTCCCTCCCCCACCCTGGTGCATGGTGCCTCTTTCACCACCCAGGGGGAATGACTAACTCCCAAAGCTAAGGCTTGTGTCAGTCTCTCCCATCTCCCTCCTCCTTCCTCCCAGCTCTGGCCTTCATCCAAATGCCTTTTCATTTTATCAGTGGCTGGGGAAGTGGAATGAGGATGCAGAGACTAGGGATACAACACTAGTTTATACCCTAGGTCGTGATGTCTGAAGTTGCCCTGCTCAGTGCTGTGCTCCATGAGAGGGAGAGGCTTATCAGTGTGGGATGCAGGAGGCTGTGGTTGTCCTGTAAGTTGGGGCTTAGGTTGGTGGGAGAGGTGCCAGGAGTGTATAGCCAGGTGCATGGAGCAGCTGCTGAAGCGTTTGTGCCATTCCTCCCACAGCCAACCAAGAAAGACCAGTATAAGATACTGGAGCGGAGCCAGATGGAAGCCAGGAGGGACTGGGAAGGAGAAGGGAGTGTGGCTTGATCTGGTCACCTTTCCAAAATCAGAGCGCCAGGCCTGCTTCAGATGGGGCAGAGACAGGCCTCAGGTCACTTGCTAAGAAGGGCCAAGACTTGAACCTGAGCATCTGGACTCCCATTCACTGGCCAGGCTGAGCCTAGAGGCTGAGGGCCAGTGGGAGTTGTAGAAACCCCATTGCTTTGTGGGGGGAGTGGGGACAAAGGAAGAAGCCACTGCAGGCTCCACATGGGCTCAGCCATGTACAGGCAGGCTCCTCCTACCCTGGCATATGCAGCCCATTGGACGACGGCCAGGAAGGACACCCTGAGGCCGTGGTTATAAAGCCCCAAACACATGCCAGTGCATTCCAGGAGTCTCTACCAGGTGGGTGGGTTCTGCCTAGGTCACACAGCTGGGACTTGAGCCTGGCAGACACAGGGGCTCTGGGTATCCTCTTGCCGAGAGGCAGAAGCCTGTGGAAAGTAACCACATGGCTTCTCAATGGTAGGGTCCTCCCATGGCCACACACAGGGAGAATGAGAGGAGCAGGGGCTCTGGGTGACCTCTGGGGTCCCCTGCCTTTCACTATGCCCTCTGCACCCAGTTTGTGGGCCCCCACAGTGTGGACGGCTCCTTGTTCTTGTCACTTTCTACCCCCACCCCTCTCCACCCAGGGCAGGTGCCCCTGCGGGTCACCCCATACTGGCTCTCAGATGCCCAGGCCTGGGGGGCTATTTCTCCCTCCCTGCCCTCACCCTTGGGCAATGGACAGGGCCTAAGTTGAAGGTGGGGCACTGGGACAGGGATGGGGCACAGGAGGAAAGGCATGAGGAGGGGCTGAGGTGAAGGTGGCTGGGTGGGCTGCACAGAAGGGTTGCCGTGAGACAGGGTGAGTGGCCATGGGGCGGCCGTCCTCTGGGGCAGGGCTGGGCTAGCAGATCTGCACTGCTGCAGGCAGGCCCTTGGTTTTCCATCGGGGCTGAGCAAGCTCTCATGGCCTCTGGCCTTCCGTGAGCTGCTGCTCCCTCACAACCCAGCTTCCTCCTTGGGGGCTGTGGTTAAGCCCCAAGGAGGTCACAAGGCAGGGGGCCCATTCCCAAGGGTCCAGGTGTCCTGCAGTCTGAATGGTCAGCAGTTTCACAACTTCCCCACAGGGCTCCATTTAATCCTCACAACCACCAAGCAAGGCAAAGTTAATCTTCCCATTTTATAGATGAAGTAACTGAGTACCAAAGAAGTCCCAAGGCTACACAGCCAGAACGTTCAAAGCTCAGAATTCCAAATCAGCTCTGTATCCCAGTCCCCAGCCTGCCATGCTGCCCGCACACCACTCTGCATCTCTGTGTCCACCATTTCCCCCGTGGAAAGGACCAGAACGAGTGGTGCTTTGGTCTGTGATGGTCAATGTCTTTACTTCTAAAGCATACATTGGACTCACTATATATTAACATCAAAAGTGGCTACCTAAAATGGAGTCATTCTTTAAAAAATCCAATGCTCACATTTTTATATAGGATCCAAAGTAACATGAAATTAAACTATACAGTGTTATGAATAGTGTAACAAACTGCTTTTAGAAAGCAAATGAAAGGAACAGATCAGCAGTTGGGCCTGGTTCCACGTCTTTGAGGCATTGTGACTGAGAGCCAGCACCAAGGGGAGGCCCAGCCCCTCTCTGCGGGCACAGGAGGGAACTCAGTCAGACAGAAGAGGTGGGCGTGGTTGTTTCGACTTCCTAAGGTAAGAAAGAGAAGATGGCCTCTCCCTGACCCTCTGGGCCCTTGGTGTGTACACTAATTGGTGTTCTTTCAAAACCGGGGAAGCACGGGCTAAAAGAGGGCAGGGGACAGAGCTGGGTTCCAAATGACTATTTTGATAATAAAGGTCCGTCTGGGCTTCCCAAGGAGGGCTCTGGCCATCCAGTGATGCGGTCCAGCAATGTCAGCTGGCTGTATCCATCGGCCAGACATGCTGCCTAGTGGCTTCTTTGACCCACTTGCTACTTCCGCTCTCTGGGCCTTTTGCTCCACAAGCCCCAAATAGGCAGCCAGAATCCTGGGGGAGTCCTCTGAGGGGGAATCTAGGAGAATTCAAAGAAAGCTGTGGCCTTTGAAGTAGCTGCATGTTGTCTGGGGCATCTTGGCAGCCCAGGCCAGCAGTCAGGCTGATGGGAGTATTCCTATGGACTGGGAGGACACCATGGGAGAGGCTGTTCCCTTACCCTGGGAACCCAGATATGCTCTTGGCTCTGAAGCAGGACTGGGGCAAGCAGACTGGGGCTATGCCCCTCATTCACACAGTCCATGGGGAGGACAACTGTTTGCAGCTGCTGGGGAGATCATGGGCTTGGCCCTGTTTCCTGGCAGCTCAGGGGTCTAACAATCCCACCTTTCTCACCAGCAGTTCTGTCTGTCTGACAGAACGATCCTCACCAGAGCTCAGAAGCACATGGCAAAGGAGGGTGGGGAGTGTCCCGAACCGTGGGATCGGCCCTCGGCTCAGAGGGGCTGCCTCTCTTCCTTTACCCATATGCACTGCCCTTTGGCTGAGACTGTCACAGGAACTTCTCTATTTCCTCCTCTGGCTGGGCCTACTGGTCTGCAGCCCTACCACGACCATCCTAACCTATCTGGTTCCTAATTAGGTGGAGAAATTTGGGAAGCTGGACTGGCATCCCCATCCTTGGGGCAGGGAGAGGTCACTGGACTTCCAGCTTGGTTCCAGTCCCATAGAAAAGAGGGGTTGTCTTGAGGCTGACAGCTGTCAAGAAAGCAAATCTTGTGACAGGAAAGAGGATTCTGGAGTCAGGTCCAACCATAGCAATCTGGCTGTCACCACTGCCAGCTGGAGACAGGAGTGCTGAGCACCACAGCCTCCATCTGCCTAGTGCCCCTGTGTCCTCTCTCCCAGGGCCTCCGAATGCCCAGCTGGGTGGGAGGCTTGGTGCAGCTGTAAGGAGAGAAGGCTGGGCTGTGCCCGGTGGGCCGTGGCATGGACTCAGGGCGAGCTGGCAGGGGCCATGGCGCGACGCAGAGCAAGCTGGCGGGCGTGCCGCCGACTCATACTGGGTTGGCGCGAGCCTGGCGCAGACTCAGGGCAGGCAGGCGGCCACCTGGTAGGCGCCCTCGGCGGCGGCGGCGGC